AAAAAAATTCTGTTAAATTTAAGCTATACAATGAAAAACTTAAAATAAATGAAAAAGTTCATAAAATTTGTTTAAAAAGTAATAGTTTAATCTTATAACATTTTAACTTTAAAGTTCCTCAAACTTTGTGAAATATACATCACGAAAACATAAAGAATAAAATAGTTAATAAATTTAAAATGAATATAATTAATTAATATTGATGTAACAAAAATCATTAACGGTATTAACTTTTCACTTATGTATTTATAAGAAATGGAATTGCTTCTTTTTTTTTAGTTAAGAAATTCGGTTTCATTTAATATAGGAAAAGGATATTGATTATATTAGAATTTAAATGAAATTGAAATAGTCTAATCCTTAAATAGATTTTGTTTATATAAAGAAACCACCAGGAGATGATGTTTATCCGAAGAACGGTTCAGGTCTTTAGACTTCTTCCATCAAAAAATTTACTTTAGTTTTTATGCTTGTAATCATGCACACCAACATTTTAAATATCGAATATAGATGGTAGAGTCTTATTGAACAACCCTGCACCAAGAAAGTAATCTTAACATTGCAAATCCAAAAAATAGATTAAATATATATTTAAATGCTGTTGTTTTCAGTGCTGGAAACCGGACCACAGATTTAAGCATTGTAAGCCCGGAAACTTGTCGCTAACCCACAGGAGGCATTCATATATATAATTAATTACATTAAAATATATAAATATTAAATTTCATGTATACAAATGATATACATGTATAACATGTGGTATATCTGACGAGTAAACGTTTTAAATAAAATGATTTTTAAAAATGAAGAGATGAATACAAATTTAAAGGTAAGAAATGAAAAATATATAGATTAAAACAGAATAATATGAATTAAAAATTAATTTAACAAAGAAATTTACAAATGAAAGTTATAAAGTACAAAAATTATACAAAAACGGACTGAATAAATTTATAAATTAAAAATTAATAACAGACTGTATGATGAATTATATTTATTCTTTTATATTTCCTTCTAGTTTTAATAGATTTTTCAAATTCAAGTTTTCATATTTGTTTTTGGTCAGAGAACTAATTATCATTTATATTTGTTGAGAAAATTGTTCATTGAGAAATTTAATAGGGGTAAAGAATGATGTATAACTTGAAGTGGATTTAAATTACGTATTTTAATAATAGACCATGCACTGGTTCCTTATGTCATCACAAACTATTTGATAGAATTAACCATTTAAATATTAAGTTTATTAAATTGATTATTAGTATTTTGTAAATCTAAATTAACCTGTTTTATAACATCATTTTTCCAAAGAAAATAATAAATTCTGGTTTTTAGGAATAAATATAATTCTGCATAAATTCTAACATAAAGTACAACGTTCAGCTAATTGAATGTTGTCTGTTATAACCTGAACAAGTATTATGGAAGTTTAATATGCAATAAGCTATATTAATATGTTTAGTATTGCTCAAGTGACATAGGATATAGTTCGTTGGTTGGTTGGTTGTTTGAAGGTAAGCACAAAGCTACACAATGGGCTATCTATGTTCTGCCCACGATGAGTATCGAAACCCGGTTTCTAGCGTTGTAATTCTGGAAACATACCGCTGTGCCACTGGGGGGCAGGGATATAGTTAGTATACAAAAGGAAAATAATTGGGCTTACAACTGTACCTTGAAGAACACCATCTTAAGGGAAATATAAGTCTGACATAGAATTATTAATGGTAATACCGTTTGCACTATTTGTAATGAAATTATTTAACAATGTAATTAAAGTGTATGGTAACTGAAAACAATGTATTAATCTAGCTATTAATCCATTAATGGATATCTTAAATTGATATCTTAATTGATATCTTTTTGATATCTAAAATACAGCATCTTAAGGTTAAGCCCATCAATTATAGTACCTGTTAACCTGACCGAATGATCAATAATTTAGTGGTTGCTTCTCCTAGTACAAGGTTGATAATTATTCAACATATTTTATAAAACTTTAATCATTTCTTACATATGTTTTAACCATTCTTTATTTATTTTTTATTGTAGCTAAACAGCTTTTCTTACTTAGAAATTAGAGGTCTGTGATTTAGAGGATCAGTTCTAGTTTTATGGAGTTTTGGAATCATTGTGATCATACTTATTTTCCAATAATTAAAAAAATATTCAGATTTAAAGGGTATTGCGAAAAGATTTGCAAATTGTTCATAAAATTTGTCTGAACAATTATTATTCATGATGCATTGTACATTATCACAATCCGTTGAAGCATTTTTGTAATGTTACAAATTTTAATATTTTACTCATCAAAGTTAATAGAGTTATAATTAGACTAAGAAGTTTAATGATTAAAAATATTAATAAGAAATATACAACACAATCTCATTTCATTCATTAATCTATTACTGACATATTTATATCATTCTGTATTGAAATTTATATTTCACAATGTTATTTATTTATTTCATATTACTGTAATTATTTATTTGTCCTTTTTTGTGATGTTGAAAAATTATATTTTTAAAACTCTTCAGGTATTTCATTAAAAAGTCGCAATTAGCTTTCATAAATTTGTATTTTGATATTGTTTGTTTTGATGACATTAGGCTTATCAAAATAATTTAGAAACAATAAATAGAAAGTGATCATCATTTACATATTTACCAATATCAAAACTTTAATATATATTTCAAAAATTGGTTGTAGTAAAAATATAATCGAAAATACCTGTTTTGCTAGTAACATTACTAATTTGACGAACCTCATTCAAAATAATTCATTTATTAATTATAATAAACGGATGATCACCATTCACATTAATTTTCATTCACTCAAAAGCCAAATGTTGGCTATTTAAATCTCCTACACTAATTAAATTTGAATTGCAATTTATAATAATTGAAACTTATTGTAATAAGAATGATGTTTTGATGAAATATGTTAATGTAACTTTCACGGTGTCATTGAAATATATATATACATGTGACAATAATTTCACTTGTACCACAAATAATGTTAGTAAGAATAAGAATTAAGTCATCTTTAAAGAGTGTTACTACACCTTATGTATGTTTTCTCTCACCTATTTGTTTGTTGTTAAACCCAAAGCTACCCAATAGTTTCTCTGTGCTATGCCCATCACGGGTATCGAAACCTGATTTTATAATTAGTAGCCATCAGATACGCTACTGAGCCACTGGGTGGGGGAGGAATAATAAATTCGAAAAATTCGCTGAGTCACCCGAAGACTCTGTAATATGTTTCATGTCTTTTGATGTTAAACCTTTTGACACGGTTTCTGGTGTACCAGTTATACAGAAATGTTCATTATCACTATGATGCTTTATTTCATCCTATTTGTCTAATAAACAACCTTGTATATTTACAGAAATTATCTCTCACCTAGGATTTTGAATGTTTTTAATGTTTTCCTCATTTTTTTTACTTTTTGTTATATTAGTTCAAAATCTAGTTGAACATCAGTTATTTAAGGCGGACTTACAAATATATTTCACAAAATTACTCCTCTTTTGATTTTGAAGAGGTAGTTATTTCTATAAAAATTACTATTTAGGCCTCAATTCGAATTCTTTGTTCAATTTTGGTCTCCTTATATAAGAAAGGATACTCAATTATTGTAAAGATTCAGGGGGAGGATTATTAAGATGATCCCTAGGATGGAAAGGTTATTCTATAGGGATGTGTTATTATCTATTGAGAAAACAAGGTTAAGAAGGTTTCTGATTTCTTTGGGTTGTATTTTAAAGACAATAGAATGGGAGGATACACGTTTAAGGTTTCGAAAAGACAGGCTAGATTCTAGTTAACAGTTATTTTTCTAGTACTAGTAGTACGCTGATTGATCGCCCTATGGATTGAATTACCGTCGAAAGAAGTGGGGAAAAGCACTTTACGGAAGTTTAAGAGGATGAGTTTAGATTTTTAATTTCCTCAAACATGGTTGTGAAGGACAGCTTTGATAAACCAAATGGCATTTTTGGTCCGTATACTATGCCATTTATCTAAAAGCTTGACATTTGTAACACTAGAAAACTGACATACGTTTTTGATACTCTTCAATTTTAAAGAGAGATATTCATTATTTATTTAGTTTTATATCAAACTCCTGGCTTCATCTTCATTTGTTAAATACTATAATAGAAGTAATAGGTTCATGTGTTATTTTATTGACAATACCTTTGAGGTAATTCTTCAATTATGTCTTATGATGAAATACTATAATTTAATACTTTTAGCAAAATATTCTTTTGACCTTATGTTGAATAAGGCAGTCTTATATATACTTTTCAATGGCCACGTTATAAAGAATTTCCTAGATCTTAATCGATCTTTAGTACAGTATTATTCTTTATATTAACATTTAGTATAGAATAATTCTTGAATCTCTTAACCGGATGCAACTCGTTTTATTTTTATTGTTATAACTATTTTCCATTTATTAATCTTTTTTATTTGAATGGCTGGGATTATCTTTAGCCCCTAAATATTTTACTTCTTACAAGTTACAGCCAGCTTAAGGTTTATCTACTTCAATATCATAATTGGATTCAGGGTCTGATACTATTTCAATATTCAAAATATTTGACTGATAGCTTAATTCCTTATCTTTTATAGATATATTATTTTTTAATATACTTGAACTTCACTGTTTATACATACTTTTACCGTCTACTATAACCTGACTTATTATATCCTAAATTGACGTGCTGGGCCTAACAGCAAGTTTTAGGCTTAACAAAAAATTATAAACTTGTGGTCAAGCCAATCTTTCAAATCGTTATTAATACAAAAGGTTATAAACCAACATAAAACTGAAATTAAGAAAACATTAAATATAAGATCCTAAAATTAAGAAAACATTAAATATAAACTCCTAAAATTATAGAAAATTAGGATTAAATTTTCAACTTTATACTACTAAAGAGTCATCTATTTGCAATATACAGTTAACAGAGTTCTACCAAAAGATGTCTTACCGATTTGAATGCAAAAATGGAAGCAAGTCAAAGTACATGAGCGCTCCTTCACGTTCGCGTGCCAGGCCATATAGTAAAATATATCATAGAGGGAGCTGTGGAGAATAACGAACGGAAGATTTGAATCCTGAGCCAAGAAATAATCGTTGTTGTCGGTTATACCGTTTTTCTGGAGGAGGAAAGTATTATGTCAATATTTTTAAACTCTACAGTTGCTATTTTAGTGTATTTTAGTTAACTTTGTTGGGATAGAACACTTTTAGGTGTCGTTACGACAGAAACAGCTAAGCCTAAAGTTACGAAATTAGGCTTATTACTAGATAATGAGGCACTTTTAGGTAACTACAAGCATTAGCTAAGCAAAAAGGAGGGTTTATTAAATTTAAAATATTAAATTAGTGTTTCCATTATTAGTTATTACCTGCTGAAAATTTGTTACATTAGTAACTTGTTTAAATTACGATTTAGTAGATGTAATGAAAACGTGTGGTATTTCATAGCTGTGGTACTGACGTTGTTAATCAAGGAATAGCTTATAAGTATTGGTTAATAGAGAATTTTGTGTTACATTTATCTACAGTTTATACTATTTAATCTACAGTTTAACTTAATGAGTGTAACGTGACTTTAGCTAAAACTGAAGCTTATTTAGTTCTTGATAAGTTATAAAACAGAACAAATAAATTGTATTATTACAAAAATAATCTAAATACCAGTATTATCACTTCTCATTTTAAAGACGAACTTAATTAATTTAGAGAAGAAGATAAGGTAGTGATAAAATAGTGTAATATACTTAACTCTAACATTAGGTTTGTTTGTTTGTTTTGAATTTCGCGCAAAGCTACACGAGGGCTATCT